CCCTTCCCCTCTCCCACCCTTCTCCCTTTCAAGTCCCCAGAGTTCATTATACCACTGTGTGTGCACTTGTGTAGCCATAGCTTTGCTCCCACTTACAAGTGAGAATGTGTGGCATTTATTTTTCTTGAACTGAGTATTAGATGATATCAAGAATTATATGTGTTAGGTGTGATAATGCATTGAGGTTATGTATAAAAATGTTCCACCTTTTTGAAGTACATACTGAAGTATCTAGGGGTGAACTGACATGATGTCTAGTATTTAGTTTAAGACTTCACCAAAGGGAGAAAAAATGAGAAATTTTAATAATTGTTGAACCTGGACAATGGTGACACAGGGTTTCATTATACTATTCTCTCTATTTCAGTACATGATTAAAATTTTTCTTAACAAAAATTTTCCTTCAAAATGCTAATTGCAACTCAATGCATTGATTTCATACCCACAGTTTGAAAAACAATGCTGTATCCTACAGCATTGTTCCTATAAGATCCCTATAAGGGATCTTATCTCTCTTGCAAATGGCTGTCATGAATTTGAAAACAAAAAATCTTTACATTATGAAAAATTCCAAACATATACAACCAAGAAAAATAACACAAGGAAACCCCAACATAGCCAATATCTTACTCAAAAAGAGATTAATTCATAGCCCAATCTCATCTCATCTTTATCCTACCAACTTCCCCACCTTGATTATTTGATGCAAATCCCAGAAAAGCAGATATTTAAAATGTACATATTTTAGTATGTATCACTAAAGGTAAGGATTTTTCTATTACATCATCATAATTGCATTATTTTTATCTCACTTTTTAAATTTACAGTTTAAATGTTTCACTAATGCTTAAAAAAAGGTTTATGTATTTGAATCAGGATTGAATTAAGACCTATATGTTAGAATCAGGTGACAGGCTCTTTAACTCTCTTTTAATCTACAGGTTCTGTTCCCTCTCTCCCCCACTTTTATTTTTTGGGGGGTCCTTGCTATTTATTTGTTGAAGAAACCAGTCATTTGTCCTACAGTTTCCCATAGTCTATTTTGCTGACAGTATCCTCTGGTGGTATTTAACATGTTCCTCTGTCTTTTTTTCTTTGTTGTAAACTGGCAGATACATCTAGAGGCCTGAACAGATTCAGGTTTGATATTTTTGGCCAGATGATGACACAGATTGTGTTACAAATTTTTACCTAATGTCTGGTTGTTTCTCCTTTGACAATGTTAGCGGCCATTTCTGATTATTACTTAGATCTACTATTATACTAGGGGTTGCAAGAAGGCTGACTGACACTCTAATTGTCATCATTCCTGCTTTATCAGCTGGAACATTTCTGTAAACAGACACTTCACCTCATCACCTGATTGAAAATGTAGGATAGCTGCTTGAATCTTTCTCTTTATTTTTCTGTTTTCATCCTCCAAAGTGACTAATGATTTATGTATCATTATGACTCATTCTGATGTCCTCCAAAGGTGATCAATGCATTTTTTGGGTTTTTTTAGAATCATAAATTATTGGATATAACACATCCCACTGGATATCCCACTGAAACATGTTGAAGTCTACCATTCAAAACCAAAAACAATAAGTCCTTCATTGGACCTCTCATTTCTTCCCAGCCAATCTTCCCCAGTGTCACTGTACTAACTCCTCTACTTTCTGACCCCTTACTCTATAACACTCTAACTGGAGTGTGGCTCCACCACTCCACCAAAACAACTCTTGCTAAGGTTGCTAGTGACATTCATTTTGCTAAGACGAAAGGTGACTTGAGGCTTCACCACACCTAACCTTTCGGAACTGTTGACCACTTCTTTCCTTCTTGAAGCACTCATTCCCCTCACTCCCATGACACTGTAATGTCCTCGTTCTTTCCCTGCTTCTCTGGCTCCTACTCCTGTTGGTTTTCAAGTTTATCTTCTTAGCTAAGAAATGTCGGCAGTTTTAAGGCTCAGTCTCAGAACATTACTCTTCTCCACTACACTCTCTGCCAAGATGACCTCACTCACACCCAGGATTTTAATTATCAACTTACACAAAGATGTCTCAGAACAAATTTATATCTTTATCTTTGCTCTCTCCTCTGAACTCTAAACTTTATATCCACATGCCCACATGACAGCTCTCCTTGTAAGTCTTGGAGTAATTCTACTTATTCTGTACAAAAATAAAGTCAGAATCTATGAAAAAAAGAAATCATCCTCTTCTAGAAAGTGCCAGCATTTACCATCCAGATGCACAAACCACTGCCATCTCTGACAATTCCATTTATCTCAGCCACCATACTCCCATCTATCATGAAGTTCTATTGATTTATTTCCCATTGCCTTTCAAGTATGACTTCTTTCCACTTAAATTAGCACTACAAACTTAGTCCAAGCTACAGATCTTCTCACTATAGGAGCCTACTGTTTGGGCTACTCGGATCTACTAGATTCTTTCTCCAGAGATTCTCAACATTGCAGCCAGTGCAGACACAATCATGCCCAGCCCTGCTTAAAATTCTTCAATAGTTTTCCATGGCTCCTAGGTAAACTCCTAACATGACCTGTGCTCTGTGTAACTTGCTCCGATCTATTATTCAGCTTCATCTAGAATCTTGCTCTCCTAGAGAGCTATCGTTTGCTCCCTTGTCTATGTTTTTTATACTATAAGAACCTTTGTACATGCTGCTCTTTGAAATGCTTTTCCTTCCTTGCTTAATTAACTCATCCTTGAGACAGGCATTCAAAAGTCACTTGCTAAGGGAAGCCTTGCCCTGACCTTCCTGACCAGATCATCACTTCCTGACCACAGGCTACTCCAGTATCTTCCATATAGCCTTTGTAGACTTGTCACAGCTGCATTTTTACATTTCTTTATATGATTATTTGGATAATGCTGATTTTATATACTAGGTAAGTTTCATGAAAACAAACTGTGGTTGCCTTATATTGCCAGCACTGTCATATGTTACTCAGTACATGTTGGATGAACAAATGAAAATGAATAGAAAAATATCCAAACTTCTTGAAATTAGTGTGGTTTAGATGTCTCAGACTTGTACTCACTAAATGTACTTTACATAAAGTACTCTATATAAAGGGCACAGAACAGTGCCTGTAAATAAGAATGTTATTACACTAACAGATTAGCTGTTATTATTACTGATTTTACTGCTTAAGACAGAAACTATTTTCTAGTTACCTCTGAATTCATCCCAACTACCATGCTTCACGTTATTACAAGAGCTGGACAAAATCATCTTCTTATTTTCTGTTTCCCTTGCAATTGCAAGGCCATGAGACACAGTTCTCAGCAGTGAAATATAAGCGAAAGTTTTCTGGGAGTCTTCTGAAAAGCTGTTGATTTTTTTTTTTTTAAATGAGAAAGTTGTGGCAGTTCCTTCTTTTTTCTTCATGTGAATAGGAAGGTGATCCCTGGAGTTGTAGCAGCAGTCTTGTGACCACGAGGGGAAGGCCAAAAAATTTGCAAGCCACTGAAACACCAGAAGCAGCTGTCTCCCTTAAGCCTTATTATATGAGAAAAATAACCCTTATTTTCTTTTCTATTACAAGTACTAACCCCTGATATTCTGCTTGATAACAAGATTCTCTTCCAGACAAATCGCCTTATATTGCCCAACATGTTTTTCTTTTTTTCTTTATCTTCTTTTTCTTCATTAAATTTCTGTCACTATCCCTAATGTTATAACCAAAATAAAATACCTAGTATATTTTTCTTATAAGATGCAAAATTAATTACAATTTTAAAAATTAAAGAAATATTCTTTAAATTTCTTATATTGAGTTAATTTACAAATATATGGAGATAAGAATAACATCTGTTTGGTGACATGACAAATAGAATTTAGGTGGCTTTGTTCACACTCAGATGAAAAATGAAGCTTTCAAGTATTTTAGTATCTACTCAAGAATATTAATATTAGCATGTGATATATTCTAATGAGATTCCACAGCCAAATATTATATAAATATGCAGCTGAACACTCAGACACCTTAGACACAGAGCTTGACTATACACACACAACTACTTTTTGAATGTACATGTAAGAAATATAACACTTGGGCTGGGCGCGGTGGCTCACGCCTATAATCCTAGCACTCTGGGAGGCCGAGGCGGGCAGGATGCCTCAAGGTCAGGAGTTAGAAACCAGCCTGAGCAAGAGCGAGACCCCATCTATACTATAAATAGAAAGAATTAATTGGCCGACTAATATATATAAAAAATTAGCTGGGCATGGTGGTGCATGCCTATAGTCCCAGCTACTGGGAGGCTGAGGCAGAAGGATTGCTTGAGCCAGGAGTTTGAGGTTGCTGTGAGCTAGGCTGCGCATGGCACTCACTCTAGCCTGGGCAACAAAGCGAGACTCTGTCTCAAAAAAAAAAAAAAAAAAAAAAGAAATGTAACACTTGAAGAAGTGATAAATCACATGGTGTCAAATAGACTGAACTATGAATTCTCCTTAGCAAGACCAGTATTTTTCACTTCTCACATGGCATGAAATTTAGGTTTACATATTGAGGGTAAGACCTAATCAGTGGCATATAATGTTCTTTGAGTAGAAAGGAATATAAACTAGATTATGTTGGTCTAGTGTCCTTTTCAGTCTGTCCCCAGTTCTCCGCCTATCAAACAGGGAGAGTAGATAGTTTTCAGACTCTGCTCTACAGAGCCTACTAGCCAAGTCTCCAAGCCTTCTACCCTTGGAAGGCAGAGCAGACGTGCTTTTATCTGTTTAAATGTTGATTTTCTACGTGATTTTGCTTAAAGTAAGAAGCCAATAAGTAAAAATAATTTGAAAGCTACTGGACAAAATGAATTTCTAAGTCTCTTCTAGTATTAACATTCATGATGTATTGATTTCTTTAAGCACCTAAATGCTAAACATTTTAAGAGCAAATCTATTCATCTAAATATGTACATAAAAAGAATTATGTCATACTGTGGGCTTGACTTATTTTCAGAAATATATTCAAACAGGAAGAATGTTTTTACCTCGTGAAAATGCCATCCACAATCCCAATTGTTGCTTCCTCTGCAGGAACGTAGGAGCCAATCTGAGCCATGATAGTAATCAAGGCAACTTGTTTTATATAGGAGCTCTTTCCACCCATGTTTGGACCAGTAATTATCATTACTCTCTCTGAGTTCTCCTAGAAAATGAAAAAGGAATTTCACTTATTAAGCCAGAGGGTTTTTATGTAACATCTATAATTTATCCCACAAATGAAATTCATTAGGCACAGCATTGCTTTGTGGTACATTTAAATATGTCACCAATAAATATCACATAAGGAAAGAGGATCTCTTTATCTTCAACCTAAACTGTGCCACTGCGGAAAAGTGAATTTTTAGCAATACACATAGTTATTTCTAGGTATTAAAAAGGAAAGAAGTAACCAGAACTGGATAAGTATTATGGTTTTCTCATCAAACATTCTTTAAGCTACCAATGTGGGCATTTCTCATATTGGTTATATTTAAAGTCTATCAATTTGCATTTGTCCATCTTAAAACATACATATTGCCCAAGGCCCTATTTTGGGTTGGTAGCACATGAATTTTTCAGTTATAGGTGGAGGACAATAGTAGATTTATATATAGAGAGATTTATAACACCAAATTCTAGATATCGGTTTTATCAGCATTTAATTATTCACTGGCATTTCACCAGAGCAAGTAAAGGAGGCAGAAGAACTGTAACTCTTACAATGATTTAATTTTCTAGAACAATCCTGTATTGATCAATTATAGTACCTGCAATATACAGACCCATTCTAAGGGAAATGGTCCAACTGCAGCCCTCTGCAGAGCAGTTGGCCCAGGGCATCTGTGCTCTCGTGAACCCACCACCTTGGCAATATCTGCACCTAGTCAAGAGTAGCCAATCCATAATTGGCCAATGGGCCTAGCATAAAAGCTCTTCTCAAACTAGGCAAATTAAATAATCTCTTCAGAGTTAATTGGCAAGGTTCAATCAGTTGGTAACTGGAGCAAAGGCTGAAAAGAATCACAGAATGAGGCCACAAGGCACTGGGGACCATGACCAAGAAGTTCTGAGGAGACAAAAGGTCTGAAGAAAAGTTATACGGAGCAGGGGTAAAGAGGATAGTTAGTAATAAAGGGAAGAAAAGATACAGAAGAGCCAAAAGGAGGTGAAAAACTTCACGTAAATAACAAGTATCAAAGCAAAGCCCTATAAATCCTACTAATGGGAGAGAAAAAAAGAAAACCTGTCCCATCCCCTAAACCTGTTTCATAACCTAATTAGCCACACATTTCCAATCTCCCTAATGCCAAATTGTGCTAGAGAGTCTATTCTTCCTGTGTTATTCCTTTCTCTTATGGCTCCATGTGGCCTTATAATGAACTTAATGAATCTCCGTTACTTGAAGGAACTTGAGTGAATCTGTGTTTCTTGCAACAGAAAAAACCCAGAAAGAAGTTTGGTACAAGTAGAAACTGATGAAAAAAACAAAATGAATTCTACAGAGATTAAAAAATAATAAGCCTATTATAGAACAACCAAATATTTGGCAGAACCAAATATTTTTAAAATTTAAATAAAGTGAACAAATCTTTTTAAAAATGGCAAAAATGACACAAGAAACAGAAAATCTAATAATACCATATCTATTAAGGAAATTAAATCTGTAATTAAAAGCCCTTCTACAAAACAAACTCTAAATCCAAATAACTCCCCCACTGAATTCTTATAAACATTTAAGAAACACCACCAATATTACAAAAATTCTTCTAGAGAACAGAATAAGAACTCTTCCCAAATCATGTCAGAAGGCCAACATAATATTAATACCCAAACCTGACAAGAACATTATAAGAAATGAAAAAGTACAGACCAATTTCACCCATAAATGCACATGCAAAATTCCTTAATATTAATAAATGAATCCAAGGCTATATAAACCATTTAAAGGTTTTGAAGAATACAAAGTTGGTTTAATATTCAAAAGTCAATGTATCCATCACATTAACAGAATAAAGAAATCATATGATTATCTCTAATGACACAGAGAAAGCTTTTGATAAAATTTGGCATCCATTCATGAAAAAAGGGCAAGAAAAGGAAATAAAAGATATAAATATTGGAAAGCAAATAATGAAACTGTCATTATTCCTCTATGTCATGACTGTATTCCCAGAAAATCTAAAGAAATCTATAAAAATTATTAGAATCAATAAATAAATTTAGTAAGATCTTTGGATACAAGTTCAGTTTTCAGAAGTCAACTTTTCCCCTGCATTTTAGCAACAAGTGAAAGTTATCTGAAATGCTTAGGAGTAGAAATGTTTCAGATTTTGCATTTTTTCAGATTTTGGTATATCTGCATTTTATGCTTACTGGTTCATCATCCCTAATCAAAAAATCTGAAACTGGAAATGCTCCAAAATATGAAGCTTTTTGAGCACCAACGTGTTGCTCAAAGGAAATGCTTATTTAACATTCTGGATTTCAAATTCTCAGACTAGAGATGCTCAACATGTAACTGAAAATAAAAACTTTTTAATGATATAATTTACCATAGTATAGTATCAAAAGAAATCAAATACCTAGGAATAATCTAACAAAATGAACAAGACTTCTACACAGAAAACTACAAAATATTATTGAAGGAAATTAAAGAAGACCTAATTAAATGAAAGCATGTCACCATGTTCATGAACTGGAAGGCTCAATATTGTACTGCTATAATAATTACATTAATAGTAGTGTTATTTGGCACAAGGATCTATATACACACACATATTACACGTGCACACCAGTGGAATAGAACAGAGTCCAGAAACAGATTGACATGTATACAGTTCCTTGATTTATGACAAAGGTGATGCTGCAGTGCAATAGACTTCGCACTGCAGTGTCCATACTATGTTCAACAAAGTTTGTTGGTGAAGATATGGAGATCAACTGGAAATGCCTAAGAAAGTTAAAGATTCTATATATTGGTCTATATGACCCAGCAATTCCTCTTTTAAATATCTACCCTAGAAAAGTACACAAGTGCTGAAAAAGACATTTATAAAATTGTTCACTGTAGTATTATGTATGCATTTATAACAGACAGAAATAGAAATAATCTAATGTCTATCATTAGGATCAAGTGATCTTTCACCTCAGCCTACTTGTACACTTACTAAAACAATTATTTACAATGTAGAACATAAGATAGGTTCAGTGAGACATTTATGTACATTTAAAAATATACAAAACAATTCCATATTATTAATAGATATATATATGTCAAATAAAATAAAAACCATGCATAAGAATAATAAATATCAGGGATAATGGTTACCACATAGGGTAGGAGGTGAAGAGGGAGGAAAAGGAATAACAGGTAATTACTGTGACCTTAACTGTATTAGTAATATTTTATTTACTTAAAATAAAACTTAGGGCTGAGTGTGGTAGCTCATGCCTGGTAGTACGAGTCTGTAGTCTTAGCCACTAGAAAGGCTGAGACACAGGATCGCTTGAGTCTAGGTGTTTGAGGCAGCTGCAGTGAGCCTGGGTTACAGAGCAAGACCTTCTCTCAAAAAAAGACAGGACAGGACAGGACAGGACAGGACAGGACAGGACAGGACAGGACAGGACAGGAAAGGAAAGGAAAGGAAAGGAAAGGAAAGGAAAGGAAAGGAAAGGAAAGGAAAGGAAAGGAAAGGAAAGGAAAGGAAAAAAGAAAAAAAACAAATATTACAAAATGTCAACCTCTATGACATTTGTGTGATAGGTAAAATGATGTCTGTTATACTGTTTTCTATACTTTTTCATTGATTTGAAATATTAAAAATCAAATGAATGGTCTTAAGATTTCATTATTTCATGGATCATCATGAATAATCAAATAACTCTTTACAAACACATTTATGCAATTTAGGCCAAATTCACATAACTTCCAAGTGACATTTTGTTATCTGGACTTATAGAATATTCCATACAAATAAAGTAATAGAGAAAAGTACAAAATGGAAAGTGAAAGAATATAATGCCAGAGAGAATACCACACAGAAGGGTTACACGTGCCAAAGGCTGAGGCTCCCTGAACCGTGACGGTATTGTTAAAGGAGTTGTCTCAAGTGAATTACCAAACTCAATGAGACATGAGGGTATTCGATGGAAATACAGACACAGAAATTTTTTTAAATTAGTAATTTAGGAAAGCTATGAGAAAAAAAAAAAGAAAAAAATGTATAATTTTTTATATTGTAGAAACCTTAAACCTTTCAATGCTTTGAAATATAGGAGTATTTATATTTATTGCTCAATTTAGCTTTTTCATCCAATGAGAATCAGCAATTTGACAGAGTAACTTTTAATATCTTAATTCAATTAACTATTTTAATAAATAAGATTTATAGTGATAAAGCATATAATAATAGCATTTAGAGTTAGAAGACTGGGATTCAGTTTCTGGCTTTGCCATTAACTAGGTAGGCCTCATTTTCTTATCTACAGATTGAATAATAACAGAAATCCTGGGCCTACATGAGTTTTGTGAATTTAAAATAAATAAGAAAATATAAATGAAATTCCTTTGAAATCATAAATGCTATAATAGTTTTTGTAAATAATTTCTTTAAAAAAGGCCTAAAACAGCCACATGAAGAAACAGTCCCAATGCCCTACAGACTAAATGACTGAAACAGAAGACATGAACTAAAGGAAATGAAATATATTTAGCCCAGGCCTAATGTAAAAATCAGATGTGAAACTTCTATGAAGATTTTGATAAGTAAAATTATATCTGTGGCACTTATGAGATGTTACTGCCATCTGAATTTAAATTGCATATACATTGATGAAAAGATGTATTACCGAAAGTGAATAAACAAACCTTATACTTTCCAATATTTTCAAAAGGAATGACATTTTTCTTTTATACTGACCTGCACAGAAATGACTGGCCTTCAAACTATACAATCACGTATATATTCCTTGAGCATTTCATTTCTCCTGAGTTTAATATAGGATGAAGTTTTTAGTTTATTTGAACTTTAGGATTTCATAGCCAATTACCATACAAAAATCAATTCTTCATATATATAAAAATATTATATAAAAATCTAGACTTCCCAGTCCTAATATTTAAACAATGTTTATTTAGCTAGGAAACAAGTCTCTCCCTGATAC